ATGGAGATTGGTGTGTTGTGATGATGGATGGATGATGATGATGAATTGAGCATGGAGATGGAGATATGATTGTGATGCATTGATGCGTGATAATGGTAGTGGGGCATGAATGATTGAGATGAAATGGTGAGTTGGTTCTGATGGATTGATGCATAGTTAGATATAGGTGATGCAATGGGAATGATATATTGAGATGGACAGATTGTGTTGATCGATGATGGTGATAATGGTGATGTCGGTACATGATGTCATGATAGCGAGGATGCGTGGAGATGATGCATGATGATGCATGAGATGCGAGATGACGCTGATTTTGTGTCATGATTTGGCTGATAATGGTTGATGAAATGATGATGATGATAGCGGAGATAGTGGTATGATTGTGCTGATCCATGATGATGGTGATAAAGGTGTTATGACTGTATGGATATGACGGAGATAGTTGCGTTGCTGATGATGATCGTGCGTGGAGATTGATGATAGCTGAGGCCTATGGTGATGATTATGAATGGATTGAGTATGGAGCCGATGCGTTGGCTTGTTATGAGGTAATGGTCTGATTTGATGCGTGATGTGATGAAGAGGACCGGTGAAAAGGAGAGAGAGACCTAGTAATGATATAAATAATGATAATAATGATGATTACTTATGGTTAAGGAGGGAAGTATTTCTCCCTAAACTGGGCCAATTATGGCGTGCAATATGATCACGAGACTCTTAACTCGATAATGAATGATAATTATGATTCATGGTTTGCTCACAACACACACACACACCAATATATCATGATTATATAATATATATTAGTTATATTAAATAATACTATATATACTATTATATATGTGCCGTGTGCTGTGTATACAAACACCATGATCATGTGTATGTGTGCCTGTGTGCTTGTGTAGATCAGATACAGGGTGTGGTGTGTGGTGTGTGTGTGTTTTACCCACTTGTGTGTGTGTGTGTGCTGTCGAACTTCTTGATCGTGTGTGTTGTGTGTGTGTGTATATATATATATATATAATATATAGCAGAAGAGAGATGAGAGCAGACCGAGAGAGGAAGAGAGAGATGAGAGAATGAGAGGCAGGAGGTGAGAGAGAGAGAGAGGAGCGAGAGAGAACTGAGAGAGAGACGGAGGAGCAGAGAAAGAGAGAGAGAGAGAGAGACGAGAGAGAGATGAGAAGAGAAGAGAGGAGACAGAGAGAGATGAGAGAGAGAGAGAGAGACGGAGAGAGAGAGAGCAGGACAGACAGACAGACAGACGCGACAGACAGAACGACAGAGACAGACAGACAGACGAACAGCAAGGACAGACAGACCAGACAGACAGACAGACGGGACTGACAACAGACATATAAACAGCGCAAGCAATGTCAATATTCAAGTCTTTTATATATCAAAGATATTATAATAAAAAAAATATTACACAAGAATAATATGAAATGAATGCATAAATGAAACAAAAATAAATATACAATATATAATATATATAGATACTATATATAATATATATATAAATATATATATATATATATAATTTAATAATATACTATATATCGATTGAAAATATGGCGGATAATAGATGAGCAGTAAAGAGTACAAAAGAAAGAAAAATTATAATAATGATGATAAGAAAAAAAAATTGGAAAGGAGATATTGTCTAATTATGCACACTCGATCGCATCCATCAGACATCCCCCCATCTACCCCCTTCCCCCCTCTCCCCCCACTTCCCCTCTCCCTTTCCCCTCCCCCCTCCCTTCTCTCTCCCCTCCCCCTTCCCCCCTCTCCCCTCTCCCCACTTCCCTTTCCCCCCTTCTTCCTCTCTCCCACTCCCTCCTCATCCTCTCCCCTCTCCCTTCCCCCCCACTCCCATCTCTCCCCTCCCCCTCTTACCCTCTCCTCCCTTCCCCCCTCTCCCTTCCTCTTTTTCCCCTCTCCCTTCCTTTCCCCCACTCCCTCTCTCCCCTTCTCCCCTCTCTCTCCCTCTCCCCTTTTCTTTCCCCTCTTCCCCCTCTCCCCCCCTTCATCCACATCTCCACCTTTACCCTTAGAGTCTCCACCTCACGCCCAATTCGGCGCCGCACGTGCATCCACATTTGTGTCGATCACGTCACTCGCTGTGGGTGGTGGCGAGGGCGGTGTGAGGCAGAGGAGGCAGGAGGAAGGAGTGAGGAGGAGGAGAGGAGGGAGGCAGGAGGAGGAGAGAGGAGGAGGAGGAGTGAGAGAGGAGAGCGGAGAGGAGGAGGAGGAGGCAGGAGGAGGGAGGAGGGAGGAGGAGGAGGCAGGAGGAGGCAGGAAGGAAGGAGAAGGAGGAGGAGGAGGAGGAGAGGAGGAGAGGGAGGAGTGGGAGGAGGAAGGGGAGAGCGGAGGAAGGAGGAGGAGGAGGAGAGGGAGGGAGGAGCAGGAGGAGAGGGAGCAGAAGGGGAGAGCAGGGAGGAGGAGGAGGGCAGGAGCGTGGCAGGCAGCGAAGGAGGCAGGAGGTGGAGGAGGAGAGGACGCGTGGAGGAGGAGGAGAGGTGGAGGAGGCAGGAGGAGGAGGAGAGGGAGGCTAGGAGAGGAGGCAGGAGGAGGAGGCGGAGGAGGAGGAGGAGGGAGGAGAGGAGCAGGAGGAGGAGGAGGAGGAGAAAAAAGGGGAGAAGAGGAGGAGGAGTAGGAGAGGGAGGGAGGGAGGAGGCAGGAGGAGGAGGAGAAGCGAAACGGAAGGGGGGAGAAAGAGGAGCGAGAAGAAGAATAAAAAAGATGCAAGAAAGAGGAGGAGAGGAGAGCGAAACGGAAATAATAAGAAGGAATCAGGAGGAGCGGGAGAAGACTAGAAAAGGAGCAAGGAGGAAGAAGAAAGAAGAAATAGGAGGATGAAAAGGAGAAAGACAGTAGAAGAAAGGAAGGAGGAGGGAAAGAAGGAAGAAGAAGCAAGGAGGAGAAGAAAAGAAGACGAACAAGGAATAACATGGAGGGGGAGATATACGAATAAAGAAGAGGGAAACGAAAAAAAGCGAAGAATAGAATCATGAACGAAGAAAATGCAAGAGGAAATACCTATTAGAACATGGAGAAAGCAGGACAGACAGAACGCGATAACAGACTAACAGAGAGACACAAGACAGAGAAAAAACAGAGGCGACTGCGAGAGAACGCAGAGAGGAGAGAGAGAGCAAAGAGAGAGCAGAGAGAGTACTGCGGTAGGAACGAGAGAGAGAAGATGAAATGAAGGGTAAGGGGCGGGAGGGAGGAGAAGATAGAGGGGAAAAGAAAGAGGAGAGAGGAGAAGATAGACGAGAGATCGAGAGACCAGAGAGAGACAGGAGAGGAGAGAGAGAGAGATAGCAGACAAAGAGAGCAGGAGAAAGAACTGAGAAGACAGAGGACGAAGACGACGCACCAGAGATGACAGGAAGATGAGAGCACGAGAGTGGTGAGAGGAGAGAGAGAGAAGCGGAGGCTGAGGGGAGAGAGGGAGAGGAGTGAAAGACGGAGACAGATAGATAGAGAGAGAAGGGGGGGAAAGAGCGAGAAAGAGAAAAAGAGAGACGAGAGAGAGGAGAGGGAGAGGAGAGAGACGAAAGAGAGAGGATAGAGAGAGGAGGAGGGGGGGGAAGAGCGAGAGAGAAGAGGGAGGGAGAGAGAGGAGAGGAGAGAAGAATGAGGAGAGAGAGAGAGAGAGAGAGAGAGAGAGAGAGAGAGAGAGAGAGAGAGAGAGAGAGAGAGAGAGAGAAAGACGGGAGACAGATAGAGAGATAGCGGGGGGGGAGGAGAGAGAGAGAGAGAGAGAGAACAAAAAATCACAATTATATAAACAGCAATACAAATAAATATAATTAACACAACAATAAAAACAAAAACAATTATGATAATGACAGCAACAGTAAAATGATAATGATAATTGATGATGATAACAACAATAATGAAGATACTGTTGATAATGATACAAATAATAATTATAACGATGGTAATAATGATCCTAATAATAATTATAATGATGGTAATAATGATAACAATGAAAATGATAACAAAGGTGGTGATAATATTGATAATAAACGATTGCAATGATAGCGTTTTTGATAACGATGTTGATAATATTGATAATATTGATAAAGACAATGAAAGAGAAGAAGAACAAGAACAAGAAACAAATACAAAAACAGGAACAAATGTAAGAACAAAAACAGAAGCAAAAAAGACAAGAATCACCAAGAAGAGAGAGAGAAGAACGAGAAATAGGGAGAGAAATTGATAAAGGGAAGACGAAGAGGAGACAGAAGAGAGGAGAGAGAAGAGAGAGAATGGAAGAGGGGCGGGGCAGGAGATAACGAGAGACGCGAGGAGGGAAGGAGGTAAGAAGAAGAGGAGGAGGAGGAGGAGGAGGGTGAGGAAGCGAGGAGAAGGAGGAGGAGGAGGAGGGGTGAGGAAGCGAGGAGAAGGAGGAGGAGGGAGTGAAGAAGCGAGAAGAATGCGAGGAGAGGAGGAGGGGAGGAGGGGGCGGAGGAGGAGGGGGAGAGGGGGGAAGGGGGGAGATTGCGGCCCCGTGCCCGGCCCGAGCCTCCGACTCACCGCCGCCCGCCATATGTCGCGGCCGCCACGCCAATTACCCGCCGCCGCCACGCCCATGCCAGCCCTAAGCGCCCGCTGTCTCCCGTACGGCGCACGCCCTTCTTCCTCTCAATGGGCGTCGGAGGCTGGAAGGCGGGGGGAGGGGGGACCAAGGGAGAGAGGGAGTAGGGGGGGGGGCTTTAACATCTCTTCACCGCCCCCCTTGCCCTCCTACGGCCTCCCCCCCTCCCTTGACTTCTCCTAAGGTAGTCGGGGTTTTTACCTGTCTTCTCGCCCCGTCGCCGCCACACCGATGCCCGGAATCACGCCCGGAGCAAGGCATTTCCGACCTTCGGGCTACCGTGCTCGAAGGGCGGGATTCGGCCGCCCGGAATCCGAGGGGTTTAGGACCTTTTACCTCTAATGACCTCAGGTAACAGGTACCTAAAGGTCTGAATCATGATTAGGTGAGGTGTCCCCCCCCCCGCGCACGGGACTCTCGCCTCTCTCCACGCGGGACGCAGGGACGAGAATCCCGTGCGATGGCCGGTGCCTAAGCCTTCCGTTCCCAGGCAAGCGCCGTGGGCCCTATGGCACGGGGGCTTAAGGGCGGGAGTTGCGAGAGAGGAAGGGGAGCGCCCGCGGCCTAACACGTGCACAGAGTGTCCAGTTCGAGCGCCGTGGGTTGGGTTGCACACCCGACATATTCCCTGCAACATTGGACCGCCGCTAAGGAGTGTTGCACATAATCTACAACATCGTCAGTGTTGCATGAAGGTTTTTATTTGTTCTCGCTTCTTTTACATTAGTCTCTCTCTATATATATTTTTTTTCTTTCTTTCTTCTTCTTCTTCTTCTTTAAGGTATCATTTTTTTGAGATTGCACCTTTTGCAACATCCAGCCTATTCCCATTTTCCTTTTATTTCATCGCACTGCCATCTTCAACACCTCAATTGAATAATAAAATCTTCAAACCGCATTCAAAACGCACGAGAAAAGCACATTGCGTCACCCTGCGCAAAAAAACACGTCAGGAACACGTTGCAGGCCACGTGGCACTTGCCATCTGGACGAGCAATACGCGTGGTGGTCACGTGGTCTCGTTTCCGCCCGTGTCGCTTCGTAATGAGAAGGAATTCGGTGTTATTTACCGGTCTTTATCGGTCGTCTTAATCACTGGGGATTTTAAGAGCTAAGATTTGCTGGAGAGTAATTTGGTATCTTTAATTTTGATAATTTTGCGTAAGTTACGAGTGGTAATGTCATCACTGCAGCGATAGTACGATGTTATTATTGTCATTATTATCATTATTACTCTTATCGTTATTACTATCATGATCATAATCATCATAATAATCATCATCATCACCATCATCATCATCATCAATATCATCATCATCATCATCATATTATTATTTATTTTATTATTATTATTATTATTATTAATCATTATCATCATTATAATCATCATCATCATCAGCTTGTTACTCTTATTACTGTAATCATCACCACTTGCCATCACACTCATCACTAGTACTATTAAAATCACCATTATCAATATTATAATCACCATCACTAGCATTATCAATATCATCACTATTAATTATTGCAATAATGTCTCCAATAACATTTCTCTTAAACATTTCTCAAAGTCTTCTAATTAGCATATAACTTGGACATCAAACACGTGAATGCAATTAATAGATATGCAAATATGTTTATGATAATGATGCGGTTAATTACTCAGCCAAATATGGTAAGGCGATGGGAAGCTGGCGTGTGTGTGTGTGTGTGTCTGTGTGTGTGTGTGTGTGTGTGTGTGTGTGTGTGTGTGTGTGTGTGTGTGTGTGTGTGTGTGTGTGTGTGTGTGTGTGTGTTTGTGTGTGTGTGTGTGTGTGTGTGTATATGCATGTATATCTATACGCACACGTGTATGTCTACATGTGTCTATCTGTTTACCTGTGTGTATGAGTGACCAAGGGGAGGGGGAGGGTGTTAAGGGCAGGGGAGAAGAAGGGGGGGGGGGTGAGGGAGAGAGGTGGGGGGGGGTTTAGAGTAGATATCTGCGGTCTATTATTTAGCCTCGTAACATAACAACAAAGGAATAGCATGATATTCGTGTAGCTAGTAATAAGGGTCATACGAAATAGAATTTTTTTTTTTTCGATCTCCGTATGACGTCATATTTGTTATTAATTATTTTCATACTTATCATCATCCTCTCAATTTTTTTTTAATGTATCTTATCTTAGTAGCTTTATCAATTGCAAGGCGTGGATAAGGGGAACTAGGTAGGAAAAATTAATATAGTAAGAGTAGTAAAAAAAAAAAAGAAAAAAAGAAAAAAAAAGAAAAAAAAAACATATATATATATATATATATATATATATATATATATATATATATATATATATATATATATATATATATATATGTTGCATGCAAAGTCAAATGTGTGTGCGTATGTGTGTGCTGCTAGAACATACACATATATAATGTTCTATGCATGTATGCATGAATGGATGATATGTATATATGTATGTACGCAAGTATGTACGTATATATACATGTATGTATGTACGTTCATTTTCATCTTTCATGGTGGACGTATTGTCTTTCGTACATGTATGTGTACGTATGTATGTATTATATGTACACACAATTATCTGAGAGATGAAGACGAAAGGAAAAATACGCACATGACAACATAAAATCAGCCACATGAATATTAAGAACATGGGCGAAGACACACGCCATATTACCTATGCCGTATGGGGAATATTATCATCATATTCTTTCTCTCTTTCTCTTTCTTTTCTTCTCCATTTTCTTTCCTTCTTCATTTCTTTTTTTTTTTTTTTTTTCTTCCATTTTTTATCTTCTTTTCTTTCCTTCTTCATTTCTTTTTCTTCTTTTTTTTCTTCCATTTCCTATCTTCTTTTCTTTCCTTCTCATTTCTTTTTCTT